TCGCTAATGACAAAATCGAGCTACCACCTATTAAAGATCAGGATGGAGCTAAGAGGATTACGGATCCAAACTACTGTGCGTACCACAGAAGGGTTCTTCATCCCACTGAGATTTGCTTTGGACTCAAAAACAAGATCCAAGCCCTAATTGACTCCGGCGTCATAACGACGAAAGAAGTCGAGTAAAGACGACCATACAACTCCAGTGAGTGCACGAGTATAAACTGTTTCCTCACACTCCAAAGAGTATATGAGTATAAACTGCTTCTCGATTATCCAACTGAGTACAATGTTAAACCCGATTTCGCAAAGGAAGCTGGGGTGGATGATTTATATAACGAGAAGTTCCTGGAGAATCTTATATTCTTAAGGATAACCCGAACATGCGACTGAGGATAACGTACTCCTCGTTACACCCAGTTTTGCAAAGAAAGCTGGGGGTGGATAATTCATGTAACGGGAAGTTCCCGGAAGAATGTTAAATGTAATATTCTTAGGGATAACCCCGATCATTATGAACAAAGTGATAAACACTAAACTCTTACTATAACTTCTGAATACTCTTTTGCTGAGATGAGATTCGATCACCTCTTTAGATCAATCTTCCCTCACAAAATTCCCATTTTGGTCAAACCTTTAAACAGTTAGGACCAAAGCCAAAATCCCCTCTCGATTCGTTCCATGAACGAGAGGTCCACAAATTGAACGATCAAACCTTTAAACAGTTAGGATCGTCTCAAATTCCCATCTTGGTCAAACCTTTAAACAGTTAGGACCAAAGCCAAAATCCCCTCTCGATTCGTTCCATGAACGAGAGGTCCACAAATTGAACGATCAAACCTTTAAACAGTTAGGATCGTCTCAAATTCCCATCTTGGTCAAACCTTTAAACAGTTAGGACCAAAGCCAAAATCCCCTCTCGATTCGTTCCATGAACGAGAGGTCCACAAATTGAACGATCAAACCTTTAAACAGTTAGGATCGTCTCAAATTCCCATCTTGGTCAAACCTTTAAACAGTTAGGACCAAAGCCAAAATCCCCTCTCGATTCGTTCCATGAACGAGAGGTCCACAAATTGAACGATCAAACCTTTAAACAGTTAGGATCGTCTCAAATTCCCATCTTGGTCAAACCTTTAAACAGTTAGGACCAAAGCCAAAATCCCCTCTCGATTCGTTCCATGAACGAGAGGTCCACAAATTGAACGATCAAACCTTTAAACAGTTAGGATCGTCTCAAATTCCCATCTTGGTCAAACCTTTAAACAGTTAGGACCAAAGCCAAAATCCCCTCTCGATTCGTTCCATGAACGAGAGGTCCACAAATTGAACGATCAAACCTTTAAACAGTTAGGATCGTCTCAAATTCCCATCTTGGTCAAACCTTTAAACAGTTAGGACCAAAGCCAAAATCCCCTCTCGATTCGTTCCATGAACGAGAGGTCCACAAATTGAACGATCAAACCTTTAAACAGTTAGGATCGTCTCAAATTCCCATCTTGGTCAAACCTTTAAACAGTTAGGACCAAAGCCAAAATCCCCTCTCGATTCGTTCCATGAACGAGAGGTCCACAAATTGAACGATCAAACCTTTAAACAGTTAGGATCGTCTCAAATTCCCATCTTGGTCAAACCTTTAAACAGTTAGGACCAAAGCCAAAATCCCCTCTCGATTCGTTCCATGAACGAGAGGTCCACAAATTGAACGATCAAACCTTTAAACAGTTAGGATCGTCTCAAATTCCCATCTTGGTCAAACCTTTAAACAGTTAGGACCAAAGCCAAAATCCCCTCTCGATTCGTTCCATGAACGAGAGGTCCACAAATTGAACGATCAAACCTTTAAACAGTTAGGATCGTCTCAAATTCCCATCTTGGTCAAACCTTTAAACAGTTAGGACCAAAGCCAAAATCCCCTCTCGATTCGTTCCATGAACGAGAGGTCCACAAATTGAACGATCAAACCTTTAAACAGTTAGGATCGTCTCAAATTCCCATCTTGGTCAAACCTTTAAACAGTTAGGACCAAAGCCAAAATCCCCTCTCGATTCGTTCCATGAACGAGAGGTCCACAAATTGAACGATCAAACCTTTAAACAGTTAGGATCGTCTCAAATTCCCATCTTGGTCAAACCTTTAAACAGTTAGGACCAAAGCCAAAATCCCCTCTCGATTCGTTCCATGAACGAGAGGTCCACAAATTGAACGATCAAACCTTTAAACAGTTAGGATCGTCTCAAATTCCCATCTTGGTCAAACCTTTAACTTAACATGCTAAAGATCGAATTGTTTGGCCTTTAAGTTTATCTGTTTGAGAGTTCATCTTTTACAATTCCAAGAATAAATGTAATGTGTGTTGTTTAGTGTGATGTTAAGAGTGTATTGTCTGAGTATGATGTCTGAGTGTATTGTTAGAATGTGATGTCTGAGTGTATTGTTCAATAAAATGCATCTTGGTTCCTGCAAACAATTCCTTTGTATGTAAGTCATTTGAAATTTGAAAAGCAAAGCTCAATTATGTTGTACGTTGTTTGTTGGAAATTTGCAGTAAAAAGACATCAGGCTTGTTTGTTGGAAATTTGTAGTAAAAGAAATAATGAAAGAAAAATTTGACTTGTATTCCTCTCAAAATCAATTACAATTTGGATTCCGATTACAAAAGAGAGGAGAATGAATTTGATTCTCCCCTTTGTTTAATTCTGGGTTCTTCACGGTGGCGATGAGATGCTTCCCTCGAATGCTCGTGTCGAATTTGCTTCTCGTTGACGATCCGAACGTCTTGATTCACTGAAACGATGTCTTCTCCTCACGATTTGACGCTGTGGAGAACTTGCGTGGCAAGTTTTGAAATAACTCTTGACGAGTTGATAACTCTGAACGAGTTTTAGAAGAACTCGTAGAGTAAGTTTTGAACTCTGATCGAGTTGATAACTCTGACGAGTTTTAGAAGAACTTGCAGAGCAAGTTTTGAACTCTGATCGAGTTGATAACTCTGAACGAGTTTGAACTCTTGAAAAAGAGTTGATTTAAACCGAAAGTTCGGTTAACAAGCCAAGGAAGAAGCTCCTGTTGTTGGTCTCCACCAAGCTAGCCGCAGATCGCTTCTTTGCTCCCCCCAAAGAAAAATGATGCCAAGAGCCCAGAGCCAAAAAGCCAAAAAAAAGAGCCCCGAACTCAGTTGAGTTTCCCACTATTTATAGCAGATTTAGGGGTGGTAACTGCCCCCCTTAATTAGCTCCTCAATGGGCTGAGTGGGGTGTAACTTCCCCCTCTTAAACAGCTCCCTAAATTATGGGGAAAACGGTTTTGAAACCGTTCTGTTAGTGTTTTGAACGAGTCAAAACGCTGAAAACAGCGTTCTGGGCCTTAACTCTGCGTCTTGTTGATGAGACGCAGAGTTGGGCGCTTTGTTGGGAGTTGAAAACGCAAGGGCCACTTGCGTTCGGACCTTAACTCTGCGTCTTAAAGATGAGACGCAGAGTTGGGCGCTCGCTGGGAGTCGAAACGCACAGGCCGCATGCGTTTTAGAGACGAACTCTGCGTTTTAGGCTAAAAACGCAGAGTTGGGCCTGTTTAAAGGCTGAAAACGCACAGTTGGTGCTGTTTTAGAGATGAACTCTGCGTTTTAGGATGAAAACGCAGAGCTGAGCCTGTTTAAAGGCTGAAAACGCACAGTTGGTGCTGTTTTAGAGATGAACTCTGTGTTTCTAGGCTGAAAACGCAGAGTTGGGCCTGTTTAAAGGCTGAAAACGCACAGTTGGTGCTGTTTTAGAGATGAACTCTGCGTTTCTAGGCTGAAAACGCAGAGTTGGGCCTGTTTAAAGGCTGAAAACGCACAGTTGTGCTGTTTTAGAGATTAACTCTGTGTTTTTGATGTTGAAAACGCAGAGTTCGACTTGTGCGCTTTGACTCTGTAATGCAGAGGAGAACCTTAGGCGGGCTTGGCGAGCTTCAGACTGAGTTCAATGTTCTGACGAAGTCCAGTCTTGCAGACGGACTTCAGAACATAACTTGCTACGAAGAACAGGTCATAACTTTCAAACCGTAAGTCGGAATTGGACGAATTATATATGAAAATCGGCTATCTCGACGAGACGGGGCCATCTGAACCTAGCCGTAGGCTTTGGTAATCTTCGTCTTGGCTCCTTGAGAATATAAGAGTTGTCAGATTGTAACTCCCGATGTTGATTGTGAAGGCTGTTGAATTGGGGCCTTCATTAGTTGTTGTGAAGGTCGTCAGATTGTAGCCTTCTGGAAGTCGTCAGATTGTAACTTCCATCATCGGTGTTTGATGGGGGATCAACTATCTATTGTGATTTTTAGACAGCCTACATACGTAAAAGTCCAAACATATGATCTCTGCACACTGTAAACAAACCTTATCTCTTGAACATATCAAAAGCAATGTTGCTTCACATGTGATCTCTGCACACTACAGTCCAAACCTTATCTCTTGAACATCTCAAAATCAATGTTGCTTCACATGTGATCTCTGCACACTACAATCCAAACCTTATCTCTTGAACATCTCAAAATAAATGTTGCTTCACATGTGATCTCTGCACACTACAGTCCAAACCTTATCTCTTGAACATATCAAAAGCAATGTTACTTCACATGTGATCTTTGCACACTACAAACAAACCTTATCTCTTCACATGTGATATCTGAAAATCTAAGATTGGGTAATATAAATACCACTTGGATATTGAACTTATTACACATCACTTCATTACCAATTTCATCTACACAATTATTACTTAGATGAATCCACCCCCATACGAGTTTAACTTAGAGGAACTCCAAAAACAATGGGATTTGAAGGAATCTTTACTCAAACCGCAACAACAGTTACTTGAAGAGTTACAAGCTGCAAGTAATCGATCCCATAAGAGGACATACATAGAGAGAAACCATGAAGCTGCCCATCAAAGGCTGATGAAAGACTACTTTGTCGAATCTCCCACATACACCGACCACTAATTTTGTCGGAGATACCGAATGCAACGACCACTATTTCTACGAATTGTAGATTCTCTCTCAAATTATGACACGTATTTCACTCAGAGGAGAAATAGTGCTGGAAAGCGTGGTTTATCGCCAATTCAAAAGTGTACTGCTGCTATACGCATGTTAGCATATGGTGTTGCAGCTGATGCTTGTGACGAATACGTAAAGATTGGAGAAACCACTGCAGTAGAGTGTGTCAGCAAGTTTTGTGAAGGTATTGTGGCCATATTTGAGAATGACTATTTGAGAAGGCCGAATGAGGAAGACCTCCAACGACTACTAAAAGTAGGCGAAGAACGCGGTTTTCCGGGAATGATTGGAAGTATTGATTGCATGCATTGACAATGGAAAAATTGTCCTAAGGCTTGACAAGGTCAATTTACCAGTGGACATAAAGGCACAACAACAGTAATACTCAAAGCGGTTGTTTCTTATGACTTGTGGATATGGCATGCCTTTTTTGGATTGCCAGGTACATTGAATGATATAAATGTGCTTGAAAGGCCACCCGTCTTTGATGACATTGAGGCAGATGAAGCTCCGCATGTGAACTTCACTGTGAATGGTCATCAATACGATTTGGCATACTATCTTGCTGACGGAATCTATCCCTAATAGCCTGTCTTTGTCCAATCACTTCAATATCCCCAAGGCGAAAAAGCGAAATTGTTTGTAAAACAACAAGAATTTGTCCAATCACTTCAATATCCCCAAGGCGAAAAAGCGAAATTGTTTGTAAAACAACAAGAATCTTGTAGGAAGGATGTGGAGCGAAAAAGCGAAATTGTTTGTAAAACAACAAGAATCTTGTAGGAAGGATGTGGAACGTGCATTTGGGGGTTCTCCAAGCACGTTTTGCTATAATTCGTCAACCAGCTAGAATGTGGGATTTGAATGACTTATCAAAAATTATGAGAGCGTGTATTATTTTACACAATATGATAGTGGAGGATGAACGAGATACTTATAGTCGAAACTGGGAGAACGTTGACTTTGAACCATCAAGCATTGCTAGCTCGAGCTCATCATTTGATTACCAAACACAAACGTTACCTCAGTTTGAAGTGCATGTTCAAGGTAGGTCCGAATCAGATATTCATACTAGATCTGAACTCCGAGATAGGGCCAAACATCTTCAATTGAAGGAGGATCTTGTCGAGCACATTTGGCAAAAGTTTGGAGCAACCGCAATTTAATTTTCAACTTTCGATTTTAATTTTGTCAAATTTTAGTTTGTTTTGTGTGTTTTTAATAAATTGTACTGTTGATTTATCTACATCAATAAAATCTTGTCTTGTTTTTAATATTGTAATAATATTTGATAAATATCAAAATTAAATAATTATAAATAAAAAAATAAAAAATTATATTATTATTATTATATTAATTATAATACATATATCACATATGAAAAAATATAATATAATAAAATATATGATGGGGAGTGATGAGGAGAGATAGAAAAGTGAATTATTTCCTAAATTATCCTCTATTGTGGAGTGTATGTGATAGTGGAGACATTTGATGATGTGGCAGGTTATGTGGAAGGGGATAAAGTGAATTTGAATTGTCCCCTATTGGAGATGGCCTTACGGGTTTTGGTGCAAACTGTCCCATGTACAATACAAAGCTAATTAAGAAGAAAGGAATATGTACATAAGTTTACGGAGCTTTGCAGTGTTGAAACAGATGAGAAGTACATGATAGAGTTCAACCTACAGTTATTATCAAGATGACGTACCGCATTTTACATGGAGAAAAAAAAAACCCTACCAAATAGTACACGAAGTAGCTTCATGATCAATTGGAAAAATCAGCAACACTCATAATAAACAGCGGGGGCTAAATTTTATAAGCTAAGATACAAATGTAACTACTGTGATTCAAAACTGTGCCGCTCACCAGAAATCGTTGCAAGAACACTCGCCATGTCGAAAGTGGTGGAACCTGCTTCGGTCCCTAACCACAATATCCCGTCTCCAAATCTTTGCAATCATCTTAATAACATCATGGCAATCCTCACAAACCCTCAGGTTCTTCACAATGTGAATCGGCACATTAGCCCCCAATCTCATGATGCCGAAAGCAATGGCCATCCTCTCGCTATGACCGAACAAAGCCTGCTCCTTCTCCTCCTCATCCATCTCCACCGACACTCTTGAAATCATCGGGGAATAACCTGCTTCCTTCAGTCTCCTAGTAATTTCTCGCATCATCTCCTCGATTTCTGCACTCTCTGGATGTGTTCGATTTCCCGCAATGAATTTATAGACTTTGCCCCCTACTGCAATAGAACTGAACCCTGCGATCTTTCGAATTCCCCTCTCTTCCATTAATCTTCGTATTCTGGATGCATCAATTTTCCTACCAGAGTCCATATATATGTTGTATAATTGTACATATCCGGCATCAAGATCAGGTTCCAACTGGAGAACTCGCTTGGCTACTGCCTTAGCTAAGTCTGTATTCTTGTGAACCCTGCAAGAATTTAGCAAAGAACCCCATATGACTGCATTTGGCTTCATCGGCATTTCCTTTATAATCTGTTCAGCCTCGTCTAGTTGTCCGCAGCGCCCGAAAAGGTCAACCATGCACCCGTAATGCTCGATTTCAGGGTCTATATTGTGAGAATCTCTCATCTCCTTAAAATATTTCCGCCCTTCTTCTATTAAGCCAGAGTGGCTGCAAGCATTCAAGACACCAATATAGGCAACTGCATTGGGTCGTATTCCTTCTTCAATCATTTTATTGAAGTGTTCCAGTGCGATCTTTCCCATTCCATTCATTGCGAAGCCAGTGATTATTGCCGTCCAAGTGAGCACATCTCTTCGACTCATTCTATCAAAGACGAGCTTAGCCTGATCCATCTTCCCACATTTTGAGTACATGTCAACTAAAGCAGTGCCAATGAAGATGTCAGGCTCAATCGAGCATGATTCTACGTAAGCATGCATTGCTCTGCCTAGGATTAGTGAGCCTGAGCTCGCGCAAGCTGTGAGCAAGCCCACGATAGTGAATTTATCAGGGCAAAGATGCGAAGCTCTTAGCTCTGTGAATAGGAGTAACGCCTCATTTAGCCGACTACTATGTATGTAACCAGTCATCATCGAGTTGTAACTGATAATATCACGATTCCCCATTTGATTAAAGAGAGACCTAGCTGCATCGATATTTCCAATCTTGCAATATCCATCGATTAAAGCATTCCACGCAGGCAATATCTTTCTACCCATCAAATGGAAATACTGGTGAGCCCCTTCAATGTCCCCACACTTTGCATACATATCGACCAAAGCAGCTGCAAGGTTATCATTCACCAAAATCCTCTCTTGATCAATTAACCGATGAACCCACTTGCCATATTCCAAGTCCCGCAACTGGGTACAGGCAGAGAGCGCCGAAACCATTGCTGCAGAATCCGGCACGATGCCGTCAGCCAACATCCTCTTGAAAAGCTCGATGGACTCAGAAGCTCGGCGGGCCTTCGAAAAACCACCAATCATACTAGTCCAGGAAACCACATTTCTCTCTGGCATTTCATCAAACAGCTTCTTGGCCTCCTCCAGCATACCGCATTTCACCAATCCCCCCATCATAGTTGTCCAAGAAACCACATCCTTCACCTCAATTCCAACAAACACCCTTCTAGCGTCACCCAAAAGCCCGAACTCAATGTACATTTGTATCAGAGCGTTCAAAACCCAAGAGCCCAAATCCGAAAACAACTTCACAAACAGACAATGAGCTAACCGGCCTTCGAGAATCGAACCCAATCGGCCACAGGACTTGAACAAGAACCGAAAGGTGTAGGGATCGAAGGGGACCGACTCGCGATGCATTTGGCGAAAGGAGAGGATGGAATCGAGAGGGCGGTGGGATCGAGAGAAGGCTAGAATTAGGGTGTTATAGTGGAAGGTTGATGGGGATGGGATTTGGGAGAAGAGGGTTAGGGAGAGGGAGAGGGACCCGGCTTCGGGGTCGGAGAGGGATTTGAGGAGGTGGGTTGATGAGGGAGGCGAGTGGAGGGAGCCGGTGGTGAGGATTTGGGCGAGGAGTTGGAGAGATTGTCGAAGGGAGCGAGGAGTTGGCCATTGATGTTTGGAGTTTATGAGGAGCATTCAAAAGGGGGACATAGATCGTTGGTTTCTTTTTCTTTTCAGGTTTTAGTTTTGGGGGTTGGGTTTTGAAACAAATGGAGTTCTGTTGGGTTTGGCGGGAGGATTTGTACGGCCGCCTCATAGCATGGCTTTTATAACCTATACACCCACTACGAAAGTTATATTCGTAGGCTTAACCCATAAATTTAAATATGGGTGTTTGCTAATTAGCCCCCAGTTCTACCACACTGAAATAGATGAGAGGCTTAGTTGCACTTGAATACCCTATAGTCTCCCCTACTTTTCGCTTAGATATCCACATTTGTTTGTTGGAAAACACTAGAGGCACACCTTGTGCACATTTTGGGGCACACCTTCCTCTCTCACAGCTACAGTGCAGGAGGTCCACTTGAGATTTTTAAATAAATCTCAAATGGCCCCCCTGCACTGTAGCTGAGAGAGGGGTGTGCCCCAGGGTGTGACACAAGGTGTGCCTTTAGTGACACCCTTGTTTGTTTTGGCATCACTTCAGTGCCTTAAGATTTCTAAAATTTGTAATTAAGTACCCCACATTTTTTAAATCTGCACTTAAATACCCTTGGTTATACAAACTTGAGGATAGTTAAGTGCATGTTCTAAAAACTTTAGAATATATAAGTGTCGGTTGTAAAAACTTTAGGATATATAATTGCTGCCGAAAATAGGTGCGCATATATAAGTGAAACCGTAGGGTATTTAAAAAGAAGCAATCGAATTATGAAAATTAATTGAAGTTTTGTTTTGAGTGAAAAGATTAAATTTGCGTAAAGATTGATCCATATATATATACTAATGCATGACTTCTAGTGGCGGTCTTCCCTTCCCCTTGATCTCCGCGATCTTTTCTTTAAAAGATGGCTCCATACTTTTCCCCCCCAAGACCGCTTCCAAGATGGAAAAATAGTTGAGAATAGAGGCCAGGGAATGAATCGCGTCCTCTTTATCTCCACAAAGCCCACGATACAAAACTTCCGTCGACTTGGAAACAATCAAAGGAAGCCGCGTGTTCGGTTGCGGCGACAGAAGACCATTGACTCCTCATCCGCAACCACGCCCAACCGACCCCCAATCAAAACAGAAGAGCTGCATCCGGCGACGTCCTCGCCGCCCCCTATTTAAACGCCTCCGCTGGCTACCTTTCCTCCCTCAAATTGAACGGCAAATTAAGAACAGAGGCTCTTGATCCTAGGACTCTCCACCTTGGCCCTCGCTTCTGCCTCCTCCTCCACCTTCGCGCAGCAATGCGGCAGCCAAGCTGGCGGCGCATAGTGTGCGCCAAACGCCTCCGGCTTGCAGCCTAGTTGATATTCGGCCGTGCACTCCACTCTGCACGGTCAGGCACGCGAGGATTGCTTTTCGCTTGGATCACAACGTGGTGACACTTAGAGCGGCTTGCGTGCATGTGGATCCGGATGGCTTGACGTGGAGCCTATTCTTGTTCTTTACGCTTGGCGTCGGCGGACGTGGGTGAGGTTGGAGTGCGACACTACCGAACTTGGGTGCCTACCTCGCCTATTTGTGACCCGGAAGCGTTGCCACGTACAAGGACCGGATAGACGTGCTTTACTTTCAAACGCTCTTCCAGCTCCGTCTAAGGGATGAGCTAGAGGCAAGCGGAGACACTCTGAGAGGGCTCCAATTAGAGAGGCTGTAAATTGGATGGCACATAAAAGGAAAGATTCTGGCTGCCGCTGTCGCCTTGTGAGGGGTCCGACACCCAGAAGGAGGCTGAGGATAGAAGCTCGGGCAAGGACCAATCAGCCAGAAGGAATGGGCCCGCAGTTAATCGGTGGAAGCCTTGCGTCTTTTGCAGATTTCTGGACTAAGGCCGCTTGTAGCCGGTCGGGGTGGTGCAAATAAAGATCTTTTTGAGTCTTATTGTTGTTTTCAATGTCATCAGTATGGAACTTGTGTGATTGCGTAAAGGCCGTATCCGCTTTATTAAGTTGTTATTCAATGTGCATGCGTATGAGGCTTGTCTGATGGTAAGTCCGTAACTTTTGTTCGACTAGCACACTCGTGTTAAGAAGCTGGTATGGAATTTTATGGCTGCTTTTTGGTTTCCGCAACTGTGTGTTGTGCAAGCATTATTCCCTTTTGTGTGCTGTTGTCTTTTATTCGTCACAGCATATCTTGTGAGCCTGGCAAGTTCCGTCGTAGGTGGACTTTAAACTATAGTACGAATTCAGGCCGTAGGTGAATTCTAGCTGTAGGCAAGTTGCAAAGCCCCGTAGGGCAACCTCCAGGTAGTCTATACGATGAAATTTTAGGCCCTAGGTGAAATTCTAGGCTGTAGCGAGTTTCAACGGACCGTAGGCAAACGCCTGGGCTCGTGCGGATTGAATGCTCGATTTGGGTTTGAGCCACGTGTCTGGCTCGCAGGACCGTTCTTCACGTGCGCTTGCCAGTTTGGCTGATGTTGGCACGTGGCTACTGTCGCATTAAAGATGGTATACATGGAAGCTCTTGCAACTTTTTGGTTCGCCAAGTCACCCCCGAGTCTGCGGCCCGTTGGCTTAAGGGTCGTGCTTAGAAACCACTCAATCGGTGAGATCTCCAAATCGCTCTGCCTGCCCTTTGCGTGACCGCCCGTCGAGCTCGACCATTCGCCGAACTACTGATCAAACGGGGTAAAGCGAGTACTTGGGGTCGTAAGCATTATATACGCTCGCTCTCCCTTTCTTGTTAGAGGTGGGTCACGGTGTTCAATGCGCTCTTCCGCAGTTCTGATTCAAGTGATGCGCACCGTGAGCAAGTAGAGTCGGATCGTGCCCTCTTATCGTCAGCGAAGCTCTGTTCACCCAGATGCTGCTGGCATCGGAATGATAGCGGCGTGCCCCTGCGAACGTGATTTTATACGTACGATGGCGTTTTGTGGCCGACCGGCGGGACCTTTTGGCGTTCGGCGGGGCGGCGACGGGGGATGATGAGATCAAGAAGAGGGAGGTTGCCGCGTTCTTGGCGCAGACGTCTCACGAGACCACCGGTTAGTATATATATATGCATCTCTCAAGCCAAACCTGCACATACAATTAGACGCTCTTTAATTAAATTGGATCTAAAAAAATTAATGCATGTGACTTGATCCCTACTACTATACATGTAGGTGGGTGGCCAACCGCACCAGATGGACCGTACTCATGATGTGACTTGATCCCTACTACTATACATGTAGGTGGGTGGCCAACCGCACCAGATGGACCGTACTCATGGGGGTACTGCTACCTCCAAGAACAAGGCAGCCCCGGGGATTACTGCGTCGCCAACGACCAGTGGCCGTGCGCGGCGGGGAAGAAATACTACGGTCGTGGACCCATCCAGATCTCATAGTAAGCTCACAGTTAACCCTCAACTTGCATGCCAAACTTTTGTGGCGCGAGCAATATTGGTAAAATTTATTAATCTCAAATTAAAGGGCTCTGCCGTTATGCTAAAACTCTAAAATTGAGTTGAGGACTTAGGGTTACCATGCATGGTCTTAATAGATCATAATCCCTAGGGTTTAGTTGCAAACTGACTCAAGTTTCTTATTAGGCTAGCAACCACTAAGATCTCGTCAACAATTAATTTAACCAGCAAGAAATTAATTATGACTACTTACGATGTTATAAATACACGCACTTGATAACAAAAATTTTTCAATTCTCGTTGCAGCAACTACAACTACGGACCATGCGGCTTGTTGCTCACGACGTCATCTACGTAGCCTGCGACGCCGTCGTCCGCTGACTACGCCTTGTCCGGTTTTGCGGGTCCCGGGGTTCGGAGTCATCACCAACATTGTCAATGGAGGCGTGGAGTGTGGGCATGGGTCGGACTCCAAGGTTCAGGATAGGATTGGGTTTTATAAGAGGTATTGCGATTTGCTTGGTGTGAGCTACGGCGACAATTTGGACTGTGGTAGCCAGAGCCATTTTTAATTTGCATTTTAACTGCGTGGTTACTTGTTGTATTCGGAATAAGAGAAGTAAATAATTGGTAATTTCGATCGTTGTAAAATAAGATGGAGATATATATACGAATATTTTTGCCCCTGTAGGGCTGTAAACATGTGGTTATGAATTTTGTTTTGATGTTAACTAATTATGTCACCCGGTTGATTAGTAATTATTTCTCTTACTTTTTGGCCTACTCTGCCAGTTACATGACAAGGGAATCGTTAACAAGAAAAAATAACGTATGATCACGGATTCACTTGTTGTGAATAAAAAACTCACATATTTCTTCAATCAAAATTCTTTTTTATTTAATTCAAAGTTATAAAACGGGTGAGATTCATATGAGATAAAACGATGGTTTATTTAGAATGAACTATATATTTATTCTAGTGGAGGATTGTAACTTGCAAGTTATGAACATAGGATAGGAGAGCATTAAGAAGAGACGATCTAGAAGCTGGCTATTTTTTAAGTAAATCAAACATTTCCAAAATTTTGACTTCTTAATGGATGTATCAAACTTCACATATATAGGTGCCGTTTATTAAGGATTATGCAAAAAAAAAATTTGTCTCATGGACATTTACTTGATCTCTACAAAACAAAAAACAAAAAACAAAAAACAAAAAACAAAAAAGAACCCGCACCCCAAAAACACTCCACAATAAGTTTTAAGAAAAAAGAAAAAAGCAAAAGAAAAAAACCCACCCACACTACCCATAAAAAGCTTTCTGAAATTTACACACACGTACGCCCATAAATCTTAGGTTGTGTTACATGTTGAACTTGCTACACAAAGAAATTTATTGTTTCAATTATATTTGGCTTAAGTTCCGTAAGTGGGACCCACACTTGACCCTTTCCGAGGTCAAAGTCTAGTAAGGCCCCAATCTTTACACTACTTTTTTATGAAGCTCTTACACTTTTTTCTATTTTAATCTCCTAAAATTCACATGACTTCTCTATGAAGCCTTTAAAGTTTTATTTCAATTGTATTAAGCCTCTAAAGTTTTAACTTTCATTCTATTTGTGCCCATAGTGGTTTTAAGCCCCCAAACACCACCCAAACTATTGTTTCAGCCAAGTTGGAATTGAAATATTTGTAAAAATATGTATGACAAAACTCTTAGAATTTGAGTCTTGATCTACTTGCTATTTGTTCAAAGTTTTAATTCTTTGACACCCTAGTATCTAA